CCTGCCTCCCCACCGCTCCCCCCCCACTTCCTGCAGGGAGCTAACAGGCTTAGTTTAGTGCCCCCAGTTATCACCAGGGATCCTGTTTTTTTCCTTTGATTTAAAAAAAAAAAAAAAAAAAAATCCCAATTTTCAGATTTTGAAAAGTGTGTGGATGGATGGGTGGATAGATATTTATCTCTCTCTCTCTCGATAGATAGATAGATAGATAGATAAACATTTTTCTGTGATTAAAATGAAATGCCACTATCTATCGATATCTAAATAGTGGTGTTTCATTTTAATCACGGAAAAATGTGGATTTGGGGTTAATTTTTAATCTAAAAATTGGGAATTTTTTTTTATCAGAGAAAGCCAGGATCCCTGGTTATCACTGTACCTATTGGTTAAACAATTGATCTTTTAACCTTTCACAACCTGGCATCAGATCTGATCTCAGGCTCCCTGCTCTGGCAGTTGGACCATTGGGATCAAAGGAATTTTATGCCCAATCCTTCCTTTTCTGGTATGGCAGGACGCATGGGCACAATTTCTTTGATCCCAATCTCACAATCGCATTAATGCCAAGGGCCTAAATGGTCCTGGATTGCAGAGAACCCAGGATCAGAGACTGGCCACCTGATCCTGGGCTTCTTGCATGCTGAAGTTCTTTTAAATGTGCACATGCAACACAGCTGCTCAGATGCCTGTTCATTTTGCTGGCTCATGGGGAGCCTGGCACTGGAAACTGCCTGATCCTGGATTCCCTGTGTACTTGTCCAAAGGGTGTGAAATTGGGGTGTGGTTCCAATCTCAGGCTACCACACTGGCATGTTCAAGCGGTGCAGCCCACTACCAAGGAGAGGCTCCCTGTAAACTTTTTAAAACAGATATACATGTCACATGTTCAAATTAATGTGCGATACAGACCATCCACAAAGACAGTCCACATTAAGTGCTTTTTAAAATATGGAATATCTTTGTGGCTGGTTTACCTTTTTATTGCATGATAAGTTACTTCCATGTTTGGCGTGTTACAATTTATTGCATGATTTCACCTAACATCTGCCAGGGGCCTTGTTTTTGTTTTGTTTTGTTCTGTTAGGGGTTTTTTTCTGTCTATTTCAGTGGTTCTCAACCACAGTGCCTTGACATCTTTTCAAGGTTGCCAAACAATATTAGCACTTTGAGGTGTACAAACGTGATCCACAAAATAAACCCAGAGATTTCAAATAGGAATCTATTAATAACACTCTGACCTGTTTTCTTCCTGATCTCTTTGCAACAGAAGAATTGCTTTATTATTTTTCTGTAGTCAAAAAATAAATGAAAACTAAGAGCTGACATTTTCTGATGCATGTTTTGAGTCTAAGAAGTTTGAGAACCATTGTACTAGGTTATTGGGCTGACAGGTGCAAGGGCCCCTCCTCTTTCTCCTATATCAAACAGTTGGTAACAGTTGATAGAGGGGTATCTTGAGATTAGCAAGGTTGAGAACCACTAGTCTATATCCTTTTAGTCATAAATATGATGCATCAGTAAAAAAAGAAAAATCCTAAAATGAATTCAAGGCATTGGGTAAGACCTTGTCTAAAATGCTGTGTTCAGTTGTTTTAATGTATGTTCAAGAAATACAAGTTCAGACTAAAAGTTATAATGGGGAAGAGATACTTGGATGATCAGGACAGTGGAAAACTCATTTTGCAAGAGGAAATTAAAATAGTTTGACTATTTTAGTGTAGTATAATAAAAGCTAAGAGGGGATGTGATTGCTCTCTGTAAATGCATTGGGGAAAACACTAGGGAAGCAGGAGAGCTCTGTAAGTTAAAGATTAATATTGGCACAATAACAAATGGTTGTAGATGGGTGAACAGTACATTTAGGCTAAAAATGAAAAGGTGTTATTGTCAAGGCTGTGAAGTAGTCAACTAATCTTCCAGTGGGAATAGAAGATGCAGAAAAATCAACTGTTCTGTAGGTAGAGTTTAATAAAGTTAGGAAAGTATGATATGCTTGCCTGCAGATAGGGTACTGGACTCCAATTCAGGAGGTCCATTTCATTCTTGTGGTCATACTGTTGAGACTTTTACATTTTAAGCTAAGAAAGAGGTATTCTTACCCATGAATTTTTTTGCTGTAGAAAACTGGCCAGACTATCACTTATTTTTAAAATCTGTATAGTATACACTTAGCTACATGTTAAACTACATGTAGTTTAACTTCAAGTACATTCCATGTTTTTAAATAAAGACCTTTTTAGATGTCTATTACTGTGGTACAAGAAATAAATTATAAAGTGAAAACAATTTTCTTCCTTTTAGCCTAAAGAAGCGGAAGCTTTTCTCCTGAGTCTTTCAGAAGAAATCCAACGTAGACTTGAAGCTGCTGGTATGAAGGGTAAACGATTAACTCTTAAAATCATGGTTAGAAAGGCTGGAGCCCCTGTAGAACCTGCAAAATATGGAGGCCATGGTATCTGTGATAACATTGCCAGGTAACTTTGAACAGAACAAACAACTTCCAGTTGCCAGTCAGTTGTGATTGTGATTGTGCAATTTATTGACCATTATGATATCTTAAAAGGGCCTTTTAAAGGTTCTCAGCATTTTGTAGGATTGAATTGTACCTAATCAGATACATCTGTACTTCATCAGATTCTCATGAAAGCTTGTGCTATATATATACTTTGACTAATGCATGTGTCTGTAACAATACACACAGATATATATATATAGAGGGAGAGAGAGAGAAAGACATTAATCAAAGTATATATAGATATATACCTTGCTGCCTTGATTCATTATCCCTACTTTGATTAGTCTATAAAGTGCATTTCTACCCTGCTTTCTACCTGACTTCAGATTAACATGGCTAACTACACAGTGTCATAGGTAGAATGGTGTTCTCAGACCTAGCCTACTTCATATAGACTAGGTTGCTTAATATAGTCCTCTGGTCATCTATATGAATGTGAATTTATCCAAGATAAAAATGGGGAGTATGGGAGGAACAAAGGATGGAACCAAGGGTGTCCAAAATAGGAAGGAAGAACAGTGAAACATGAAAACCAATACATGATAAGCACACCAAGAGGAAAGGGGAGAAAAAGTAGACCGATACAGCTCAAAGTTAGAAAGTTGTCACATACAGAAAGTAGTGGAGGTTTCTAAAAAGAGGAATGGGAAAAGAGCTTGATACCCTCAGTACATTCTTCATGTTTAAAGAAAATGGAAAAATCACTAGTGAAAAAAAATGCAGCTTGTATACCTGTGGCTACTTCATAAAAATAAAGGTAATTTAATCAAATATTTGTAGTTACTCTTACAGTTAATTAATGCTAATTATTGTGATTGTTTGCCCTCCTAATAGACTTAATCTAGAAGTTAGAATTGTTCTTTACTGTTAATAATCTGTCATAAAAACCGACTTCATTAAGGGCATGTTCAGTCCTAAGTTACTTAAATATTAACCACGATTGTTCTGGTTTCATAGATTAAAATGGTATTTTCCTTCATGGTATTAAATAGTTTATATCGTGCTTGGATCCTTTCTAGGATTAACAAAGTGTTGTTTCCTTTTCTTTAATATTTTGTAATGCATCTTTTGTTTAAAAAAAATTATGCTAAATTATTTGCAGGACTGTCACTCTTGACCATGCGACAGACAGTGCAAAAGTAATTGGGAAAGAAACTCTGAACATGTTTCACACAATGAAACTGAACATATCAGATATGCGAGGGGTGAGTTAAAACTGAGATTTCAAAGTTTTTGTATTATGTTTTCCCACTTTACATTAGTATATGCCCTGCAACTTTGTTGGGTTGCAAAGACTGAGTTTTTGTTGGTGTATTCCTGATAAACTTTTGCATGATAGAAAATCCACCCATTAGATTTCCATTCATTTCAAACCCTAATTCAGATTCTTTAAATCTTAAAAGAGAAACCTCTAGGGGAAAGTTATAAATCACCCTGCACATAGTACCCAGGTATCTCATTAACTGGCCAAAATAATTTTTAATAATACAGTTTTATTCCACTTATACATCAATTTGGTCCAACTTTCTCAGATTCAATTTTAGGAACAGCTGCTTTTCCCCTGAATGCAATTGGATAACTAAAGATAAAGATCTTGATTTTTTTTCCTTTGGAATTTTGTAAAGGCAACAGCAGTTCAAATAATCAAGGGAAAGATATAAAGGGTTAAATGCAGTGAAAAAAATTCTGACCTGTAACCCTTATGCAAGTTATCTTTGCTTCGGTATATTAAACAAAATTAAAAGTCAAGAGATGTTTCTCAGGGCAGGAAGTGGATATAGCTAGAAAAATTGGCTGGTGTAAGTCCATGCAAGTTGCATTTATTTTTCTGATATTCAGATACTGAAGCAATTAAAATGATGTAGATTAATGAGCTGAGAAAAAGCAGTTCTTATTAGGTACATCTTACAGCTTTTAGGTTACTTGATTAGGATTCCTGTCCCTGGTTGTTACATATCTATCTACAGGCATGTCGCATCATACGCGTATTTAACTTGCGCAAATTCAACTATACATGGGTGGGGAGGGGGGACGGGGCTTGAGTCTGCATGTGGCGCTGCCGCTTACCTGGAGGCCCAGCCACCACCATGCTGCCAGTGGTGACTGCCCCTGACTCCAAAACCTCCCGCCGCCGCCGCCCGAGCTGTGTGGCCAGCCGCTGGGCGTGGTGGTGGCCAGGCGGCACACAACCATCCCCACCACCACCCCACGCTGTGCTGCTGCTGCCAGCCGCACAGCTCTAAGCACAGCTCCGCGGCAGCGGCAGGAGGTTTTGGAGGCAGAGGCAGTCACCACTGGCATGGTAATATGCGATTTCACTATACGCAATTTTCGCCTTGCACACTGCCTTTAGAACGTAACCCCCGTGTAAGATGCGACATGCCTGTATTTGTTTGAGCATGAGCGGTTTATGTAATTTATTAAAACTGGTGCATGATATATACATTATTGATATAAGCCTATTGGCTTGCATTTTAAGCCAATTCTATTCCACCTGTTAAGCATGTTAAGTAGATTTGGGTGCTTTAACTGCAGTTCTGTTCTTCCCTCAAGTCCATGGAAAATCTAGTATAAAAGGTGAATGGGTTCTGCTCTTCTTTAACTGCTTTTTTATGACTCAGTGTTAATTGAGATGGCAGTGTGTTACAAAAGTAGGGGAATTGGTGGACTTCTCAGGGACTTGAATTGGGTGGAATTGAAGTCTCATTCAGTGCATACATCCAATTAGATTGCCTGATAGGTGCAATAAAATCTAGCTCTTTTAAAAAAGTATTATTTTTTTAATTGTGGCAGGGGGTGATCTTAATTTTAGTACTTGTTTATATGTATTTCATCATTCCTTTTAGAAGTATTCTTTTTCCTCCCAAAGTAGTTTTTGTTTCTGGGGAAAGAGGAATGGTGAAGAAACACACAAAAAAATCTACATCAGAATTAAAGAAATTACTTTGAAATCTCAGTCATCTTTGTTGTTTTTAGGTTGGCATTCAGGTGCATCAATTAGTTCCCATCAATAAAACCACTTCAGCTGTTTCCTCCAACTCATCAGTACGATCTGGACACTTACCTGGTGGATCACATTCAGTTCTTGATCTTTTCCATGTTCAGAAAGCTAAGAAATGTTCAGAAGAAGAGCATAAAGAGGGTCAGTAAGATAATCTTGTCAGGCTTATTTTGTATTTGCAGTAGCATTGGACTCCTCTTAACTTGATTTGGAGTCATCTTAACTCTGCACGTCTGAGCATTTTTTTAATAGAAATTCAGTACTAGTTTTTCTAGACGTAATTGAAGTGTATATTTTGCTGCTTCATCTCACCTGGAAAAATGATAAATGTAAGGGTCTTTCTAGGATTGTTGGTATTTTTTACAAAGTCTTGAAAAAAAAATAAAGTAGTATTGTGATTAAGAATAGAAAATTTGTCTCGGACTCTATATACAATATAAATTACTAAATGTTTTGCAATAGAAAGAAAAGCAAAATTTTATTACAATTCATTACTGTATGAAAGCAAAAGAGTTTCTAGACTCCGGATAATTTTTCTACATTTTTTTTTCTATATTTTATAGTGTTTGTAGCTGCTATGGATCTTGAAATATCCTCTGCATCAAGAACTTGCACTTTTCTGCCATCTCGTACTAGCCATGTGACATCTGGTCTCAATCCCATTATTAGCAAGGCCGACTCTGCAGTCAAATGGAATGGTTTACACTCTCCTCTCAGTGTAAAATCAAGGCTTAATTTAAGTATTGAGGTTCCATCACCTTCCCAGGTAAAATGTGAAGTACAAAACATCTGATGTATCTTTATAATTAGTGTATGGCAAGCTGTCCAGCTTCTGGAGATCCCAGCTGCTTCTGCAGCTGAAGCAGTGGGGAGAGCAGCCATTAGTTGGGAGCCCCAGAACCACCAGGCTTACAACTCTGGTGCATGGGTGTACAGTTCTTAGCAAGAAATGTTGCATGTAATTTGTGTTACAGGAGAAGAGATTTAGAGTTATAATACACATTGAGTGTGATATTGCTGCATACGTTGAGTGAAGTTTTCCTGGATTTTTAGCATATGATAGCAATCTAATAATTTAAGCAACTTCAACTTCATCATATTATAAGGTGAAGAAAAGGTAAACAGATTTTACAAGGGAAGAATATGCTGGAGCAAAAGGTGACTATCATTCGTTCAGTATTTTTTCTCCCTTTTATAGTGTTAAAGTGATTATATCAGAGCATTGAATATATTACTTAATGCCAGTGATGCTGAAGCTCTTTAAAGGAATGTAAACAGTTTTTAAAATAATAAATCAGCTCTGAAAAGCTCAGTTTTAAGACATGTTTTTGTGTTAACACAATTATTGCCACACTCATCAAACAAAATATTTCAATTTCTTACATAGAGCTTCAGTTTGATAGGCTATATGGAAAATAACACACAATTACTAATGAACCACTGTAGGAACACTTTTGTGAATTACCATTTATGTTTTTTTCATAAAAACAGAACTTTAAAATATTCCCTGTACCTTTTCCTTATTGTCTTAATATTCCCAAGCTGTTGACCCAGACATCTGACTCTAGCGCTAAACAAGGATTAATTGCCACACAAGTATGCAGCTTAGTTCATTCAGATAGCAGAGAGTGTACATTTGCCCATGCTTTAATCATACCTTTAGTTGCAATATAGACTTATCCAAAGCCATGGGCAGTGAGAGAATGGAGTGGAAGTTGATTCTGCATGCTTTTCTTGCCTTGATAACTGAATGCAAAAGGTCAGGATATGCACAGTGAATCCAGTAGTCAGTGAGCTACTAAGTATGACTGTTTAAGCTAATACATATTTTTATGAAGAAGGATTGTATAGTGTAGGTAGATATACCTATACCAAATTTTGGCTGGCTCTCATGGGAAACGATAGCTGGGCTAACAGTAGCTGTGGATAGATTAAAGCTAGATAGAGATGATTACCTGACTACAATTATGCTTTTATTTGCAGGATAGACATATCCTTTTAGAGCGTCTAGTGTCTTTCCCTTATGATCTTCTTAGGAAAATATTTTGTGTTAGCTTAAATAAGGACTTAGTTTCCTAGTCTCATCTGACCCCAGCACTCTTTGCCTATGCAGGGGGTGGGACTCGATGATCTATTGAGGTCCCTTCCGACCATAGCATCTATGAATCTATGATAGTTTCTGCCAGTGGGGGGGAATTCTAGTAGTCAGATCTGATTTAATTATTACAAACTTGATACAAAAACAGCATTTCCACTAATACTGTATCTGTTATCGCATGATGAAGGAACAGCCTTTCATTCCAAACCATCTACCCTACATCTAATAGTAGGTTTCTGGATAGGCATTCAGAGTCACAATTGTAGTGCAGAACACCCTAATTTGTTATCAAGAGGCTCTATTAGGAATAGTTAAGTTGCCTAGTGGAAGCTATTTTTATTCTGGTGTGAAGAGCATCACTTGTAGCTTCATGAGATGCAAAGCCCTGTAGTTTTTGATTACTTGTTCTTTCTGAAGAACTTGGTACTTTTCATTTAGCTTTGTCTGCCTCTTATCTGTAAATGGTGTTCCATCTTGCCACCTTCCAAGTGACATACCTGAGAATCCTTATTTCCAGTAGTATTAGTCTTCCACCTAAATATATGTTGTTCATCCCTATTTTTTTTCCAATCATGCTGAAGTAAAAGCAGGACTCTTGTTTGTGTATAGGGCCTTATCTTCCTAATAGTGAACAAATATAGTGATCCTCTTCTCAGATTTTTCTGTCCTTTGACAAAGTGAAAGATCTCCTTCTTCCTACCGTCCTACTATCCAAGAATACCAGAACTTGTAACAATAAGAGCAAAGCAACTGAGGCTGTTTAAACAAACAATTATCTAAACAGGCAGTGATCCTGTAATTAACACCTGTGAACCTGCTGCCTAGAGCTCATTAACACTTTTACCAAACATGCCTTAATGAAGCACCTGAACCTGATGCTTCTTTTGGCTGAGTAGGTTTGGGGTACAGTCTGCCAGCTTTACGTTTGGATAAATGCACTGACCAGATTTTATTAGCATTGTTTTTATGATCGCCAGATTATTATGAGGGAAATTAAATCGTATAGATTTTTATAATTGCAATGCTAAATATTTAACTCGTAAAAAAAGATTTAAATATTGGGTATACTGAATAACTTAATTTTGTAAGTATTTTTTTTCTTCTTCCTCTTGGCTTTTACAGCATTCAGTACTTCTAGGTTCCTAAGTAAGTTTGTATGGGGAAATTAGTATGCCACGTTTTGTTTGAATTTCTTTATTCAGACTTCAGTTCTCAGCATGAATACTGTCTCTTTACATGTTTCTCAAAAAATCTAGTGACCTTTTTAAATTTTTCTTTCGTAGCTAGATAAGTCTGTCTTGGAGGCACTGCCTCCTGATCTTCGAGAACAAGTAGAGCAAATATACACCATTCAACAAGGAGAGATATATGGTGATAGCAAGAAAGAGCCAATAAATGGGTGCAACACTGGACTTCTGCCCCAGCCAATTGGAGCAGTTCTTCTACAAATACCAGAACTCCAAGAACCAGACAGTGATGTGGGAATTAATGTGATTGCCCTGCCTGCATTTTCTCAGGTAGAGTATATTTTAAAATAACTGGCTTTCAGTATGGAGTCAATATGCATGAAGCTTCTCATCTGTAGTAATAAGTAGTTTGACACCTTTTCTCAGGCAAAATTACTACAATCTGTTGTTCATTCAGAGCCATCATAATCCGCTAGTTCAGTATTATCTCTGGATTTATAGTCGTTCCAAAGTACAGTAATACACGTAAAGATTTATCTTTTCCAGTGTCACTGACTCCATGGTTTGAAAAGCTTTCTTTTTTATTTTGCTACTCTTTAGTGTGTATGCAGAAACTTTATACTTCTTTTTCAATTACACAACGATTTTTTTTTTTTTTGCATTGCAACTGTATCACATTGTACTACCAGTATAAAACAGCCTAAAAATCAACTTAGCTTTTTACAGGAGGGTTCACTTTATTGTAGACCAGTATTTTAGTGACACAGGGACATAGATTCTTTGACAACTGTAGTTTTAACTGTCAGGTTACATTGTGTCCCTGGGGAGAAGGAAAGCAGGGCAACAGTTTGTGTACCTGAGAAATCTGCAAAGTTTTGATGCATTTGGCACGGGAAAGGGAAGCACAGCAACAGTTTCTGTGCATGTGGTGTTTTCCAAAGTCCTCTCTTTAAGACTACTTGTTTATAGCTGGTATGGGAACACAAAAGTGCTTTTCAGCATGATGCCTTAAGGTAGGGGGATGGAAGCTACTATCCCAGAGGTTATTAATTTGTCCCTTTGTCCCAGGATCTGGAACTGATGTGTTGATGCAGAGGAAAAGGATCATTGGGCATGTGCTCGTGGGGTGGCGTTTTAATTAGAGCGACTCCAAGAGCTGACATCTCGTGTATCAGCTGCCGCATCTCGTGTATCAGCATCCCCACTCTTAAAAATGGTGCGGGAATCAGCTGTTAGATAGAAGTGTGAAAAAGCCCTGTTGAAGCACCTGATCTATACAGACACTGCAAAGCTGGGTTGAACTAATGTGCTGCAGTTTCTGAGAGAGCAGTTTTTGGGGGGAGGTTGGGTTTTGGTTTTTGTTTGGGGGGGTTCCACATCTGCAAGCAGCCACAGTGTGTTAATTTGTGCTTTGTCCAAGTTGAGGATGAGCAGGTGGAAGAAAAGATTTGCCTGGAAGCCAAATCTTTCATACAGTAGTAGGAGGCCAGTTTTGGTGTTTGGGTATGCTTCTATAGAGGAGAAAAGAAAAGAACTCTCCCACCTCGCTTCCAGCACAATATGTAGCAAGCCCCTGCACTCAATAAGTGCAGGACTGTTTGCAAGTTGTTTCATTTGGGGAACACAGCATCCTAATTGATTTATAGGCAGCAAGGATTAGGAAGAACCCCGAGGCCAGTGCCTAGTCTTTGAGGGTGGAAAGAGCAGCCTTAGGTGCTGCTTTCTGGACTAGTGCAGAGTTATCTTAAGATACAGTTTGTCCTTAACACCCAGAGTGTTTGTGTTGAGAATTAATTGGCATTTATTTAAATGGGTGCTTTGGAATGTCTTTTTTAATATTGACTTTATTTATTTAATTTTATATCATATTGTAGTAGTAAACTTAATTGTAAAACTAATTTTACAATCTAAATAATACATATTTAAAGGAAAAATATGCTTTTCACTTGTGGACTAAGGAATATACAGCAATACAAAGAGAAAGCATATAGTATTTTAATCTCAAAGTTCACGTTTAATACAGAATGCAAATATCTTTCTCAATTAAGAAAAAATCATCAAAACTAATCAAATAATGTTGCTAACCAGTGAAATAATTTCAGAAAAAGCTCTGTCATTTTTCAGGTGGATCCTGAGGTTTTTGCTGCACTGCCTGCTGAGCTGCAGGCAGAACTCAAAGATGCATATGATCAAAGGCAAAAGCAGTCAGAAAACATGATTTATCAGCAGCTGCCTGGCACCTTTGGTAAGTATATTAAAATTGTAGAATAAACTTGTCTTGGACTGTGATAAGATTTGATACAGTCCTAAAAAAGCTACAAAATATAACTTTCATACTTCTAGGAGGCCACTGCAGTGCGAGAACACTGCTACATATTTTGGTCCAACGATTAGATCAGTATAAAGATGGCTTGAAAAATACCCTTTTTTTTTTCTTCTTAGTGTAACTAATTGTAGCTCATCTACATTGCAGGATCTGGTGCTCTGACTATACAAGGAGGGGTTAAGTGTTTCCCTATACATATAGATGGGAGTGTTCATATGTGCCTAAGATCTGAGATGTCCAACTGTGCTACTGGACTCCAGCTTTGTCTTTTTGTTCAAATTATTTCCTTTTAGGATTGTATTGCCTAAGCTGAAAGTCTGCGTGTTGGAAAAAGTTGGCTTGCTTTTCAAAGGCCCTTGGTGCACATTCATTGAATTTAATGGGCCATAATATGGAAAACCAGCCCCAAGATATTCCACAGAATATGTGGAGCATCTTTTGTGGCTGTTTTTTATGGTGCCATAAATTGAACATGTGGCAGTCACCCCAGTGCAGACAATCAGCTGACTGGCAGCATCGGAATGTGGGCAGTCCCTGTTCTGGAACCAAGCTGGATGATGCCCAAGGCCTAATGCTGACAATCGCTGATTGTGGGCTTTAGGATGAGGGCTTACTGAGACCTAGCAGGTTTTGCTACGTGGACTGTAGGGCAAGGCTCTTCAAGGTGGTGATGGGTCCTGGCATCACAGGGCATGCAGCAGCTCCAGGGTTTGTGACACTCCTCTCCTGCCAATTTGGATAATGCTGGGGACGGCTCTGGGTCTAAGCCAGGAGGCTGTCTGGTGTCAGATTGCAACACTCAGCTGAGCAAATGGATCTGGTACCAGGCAGCCCTGGGATCTGGGACAAAGCCACTCCGTACCCAGTTCTCAAGAGCAAGCTGCGGGTAGCTCAGTGTCCAGATTCCACCCGCCCCCTGCTCTATCCCCAGGGGCAGCCCCAGATCTCAGGCCTGAGATTCACCTCTTTAAACTGGTGCACAGCTGGGGGTGGGGGAGCTTCTCCCATCCCAAGCTGCATGCTCTGGACATGTGCAGTCAGAGATGAGGGAGCAGCCTTATCCCCAACTGCACCATGGGGGGCATCCTGAGCTCAGCATTTAGGGAGTCTCTCCCCGCTGTCAGGCTTACTGTGCCCAGAGAACTTGAAAAATTAGGTGAGCGTTCAGCAAGTGCTCCCAGCTGCATGCCCACTTAGAAGTTGGTGGTGCTACAAGCCTGTTATCAGGGAAAGGCTTTCCAGTGTCAGGCTTATGATGCCCTGGACCTTTTAAAAAAAGGCAGGTGGGCAGTTGGGACACCCAGCTGCATGCATCCTTTAAGTTCCTGAGTGCCTGTGGAAATAGGACCTGGGGGAAGCTTCTACATACCCTAGGCTCCTAATTCAGGGCTCCCCACACTGACAGATGGCAGTTGTGCGATTGGATTATGAAGGATTTAATGCGGTGTTCCCAGAATTGCATGGCCTGCCAGATGCATCTGGAATAGCAGGGCATAAATTTCCACAGATCTCAGTTGCACGACTGCTTTCACATTTGGCAGCAGCCTAAGGGGCTGGAAAAAGTAACTTAGAACCTTGCTGAAGAAGAGCAGCAGAGAGACAATCCTCCCATTGTTAAAGTGACTCTTAGGCTAACACTGTTCCACAGTATCTTTGCCTGGATTTCAACATTTGTTTGCACTAGCCTGTAGGTTTTTGCACTAATCTTGTTTTGTAAAAACAGCTTTCTCAAGTGCATTATCAGTTTAGTTCCTTGAGATTGTCTGAGTAAAGTTTACATTTCTACAGAGTCTTATGACGTAAAGATAAATACTGTTTATGTACAAGTGTTCGGATTAGCATCTCCTAGTGGATAGATCATGGGACTGGGATTAAAAGACTTCGGATTGATTCTCTTCTCAAGTCTGCTCCTAGCCTGCGAGTGAATGGTGATCTTGGGAAGTCAGTTCACTTCTCTGTTAGTTTCCATTTAGTTAAAATGGGGATAATGATACTGACCGCCTTTTAAAGAGCTTTTGATATCTGCTGATGAAGTGTTACATTGGGGATAATTTTCAGTTCTTTGGTGTTTTGTCCCCAAATATTTGTGTACAGCTTTGAAAAGTGTTGGGGGTAATCTGTTCTCCTCCATGAGAAGTTTGAGGATGAATATCCCATGAGAAATGTCATTACAAAAGACCTGAAAGTTTCATTATTTGTGGGACGAAATCTTTCTTAAGTTTTCATTTTTTTAATACTAGATACTTGATTGTTACCCTTCTTTTGTTCAAACTGTATCCTTTACCCAAATCTTGTGAAGATCATCTGAGCTAAAATGGTTGTTACCTCACAGAGTTAAGTTTGGCCACTGGAACCAATAAAGAAACCAAAACATTAGTCATATATTTTCTTCAAGCTATGATATCAGCAATTGGGCTGCTGTGTTTTGCACCAGTGGGAATTTCGTTAGAATCTTTGATTTCATTCCCAGTTATAGGGGTCGGCCCGTGGGCTGGATCTGACTTGCGAAGAGATTGGATTTGGCCTGGGAAGGCCCAGCCTGGCCCAGGGCAGCACAGGGAATTGGGCAACATGTAGCTGCGCTGTGTCACTCGTCCTGCCTGCAGCACCCTCCTCCACACCCCTCTCTGCTGCTTTCTCATTCCTGCACTTACCCTCGCTACAGAGGGGCCAGGTATCTGCAACGAGGGTAAGTGCAGGTGACTTGAGCTCTCCAGGGTGGGGGGTGGAGATTGGTGGCCATGGCAGGGGACCAGATTTGCAGGCTCTGGCTTGCTTGAGGGTGCAAAAGGTTGCCAAATTCTGATGTAGTGCAGTAAAATAATCAATTCTTGGATCCTTGTGGATGCGCCAGAATCTGATAGGATTGGTATACAATTCCCTCCGTTTGTATGCTACTTTACAATTGTGAAATACTTTGCCTTAGTACAGATGATGAGATGGTGATCACTGAGCTTAGGTTCAACCAGTTACTCTCATTCAGACTTTGGAATATTTGATATTAAAGCCAGCTTACATATAAGAGGTGTCCTGTTAATTGCAAACTTCAGGGCTTCTGCAGATGGCCCACAGTGGCCACTAAATTTTTTTCCCCCCATTGAATGTATTTGACTTCTGTTTTGTTGGTTGGATTCTTTGTTTGCTTGTTTTTCACTTTCCTTTAAGCTTGGATGTTGGCCCTGGCTGGAGATGGAAGTTAGGCTGAGATGCAGTGGTGCTCCGAATAGTTGGTGCATTTTGTTCGCGTGCTCAGGGTCAAGTGATCATCAGATTTGGGATCAGTGAGGAATTTTCCCTTGGGTTGGATTGGCAGAGACTGTTGGATATTTGTTTTTGTAATGTGGGATGCAATCCACTTCCTAGGATCATCTGAGTTTATTTTACCTTACAAAATTCCATGACACTGCCAAAGTGTTGATAGCACTTGTGTCTCCAGTTCACTTCCTGTTAGTACCATTGTAATCTTTTTACCAGATACCTTGTGGCTGTGGTGCACAGAGGGCCACAGTGAATATCATTTTGGATCCTCCCCTTTGTCGGTGAATGCAGAGGGCAGGACTGGCTGGCTGGGTTTTTCCCTCCAGTGCCTTGTATTCTTGTGAACATATAGTTGGCTGACATCTTGTGTACCTGAACTTCCTATGAATGACTTCCAAAAAGTTGCATTTAGAATGTTTTTCATGATTAAGCCTAAGGTGCATTTTAATGATAGGTTTGTACATTTTACAAAAGTGACATGGTTCTCACCCATCCATGGAAAAATACTAAATGTAATAACCACCGATTTATTCCTTTTCTTCCCTGCCAGCATCAAAGAATCCTTTACTACAATTGAAGCAAGCAACAGTAAAAACTAAGAAAAAAACCAGGAAAAAAAATGCAGTCAGTCCTATGAAAAAGATTCAGAGCCCTTTGAAAAACAAACTCCTTGGTAGCCCTGCAAAAAACACAGTAGCCACTTCTGGAAGCCCACAGAAGCTAATGGATGGTTTCTTAAAACAGGAAGGTACAGTCACTGGTAAACCTCAGGTAATTTTTCCACTAGGAAACTTTTTACAGGCATTAAAAGAACATTTGCTGAAAATTGCATAAAATCAGTCAGTATATAGTTTTTGTTGCTTTTTTAACTAAATACAATTTGTGATTTATTTTATTTTTGAACAGGTGGAACCCGTTCCATCAACTTCAGATAATCCAGGGCCATCAGATTTAAAGACAAAACCATCCGTCTCATTTAGGTCACAGGCACCCAATCTAGCTGGGGCTGTTGAATTCAATGATGTAAAGACCTTGCTTAAAGAGTGGATTACAACTATTTCAGGTGAATCATACTTCATACATTTTGTTTTTGTGTTATATTTGTGGGGATTCTGTATACATCACAACGTTCTCCTGAATGTTACATACTTGCCTTGCTGCCACTGCTTTCTTTCAGCATTTTCTAGTCATCTTGGTCTCTCACCTTCTCCCAGTTTGAAGGAACTGGATTCCTTGTATTTTTTCTTTTACGGTTTTGCCAACCCGTTGTTGCCTCTCTAGGTAACATTTCCAAAAACTATCCACTTTCTTTTCCACCTCTTTGAGTCCCTGGTTCAAGCCAGGATGCAACCTTAGTTGTTGTGACTGTTCTTACTCTAACACATTGCCCATACCAGGGTTAAAGACACTAGAAGTGAAGCTCTTTTTTCTGTTTTATATATTTCTTGTTACACAAAGATGAATAGCAAGATTTCTTAAAGTATCCTAGAATTCTTTGTAAAATAAGAAAAGCACAAATCATTGCATATGAAGTTAGATTCTATTTTTATGTAAATCAAAACAATGTATTGCTCTAATATCTGAGCCATGTTCTTTATGGTTTCTGTCATTGTATGACGCTTCTAAATAACTGTAAAACACCTCATCCATTTTAAATCCCTGTTCTTTTCATATGTGTTTAATAGTAGCTGTGCATGAAAAATAGAGGGAATCTGCTCCCCTGATCCCTCGGGATCATATAGTTCGATTTATAAGCAAAGATTCCATTGATTTTTTTAGGTCACGTGGGAATATAAAAGCTGCGAGAGCCTGCCCAGGAGTATTAACCACCTCAGAATTTCTTTGATTCCAAATATACTGGAATAAAAATCCCCATATCTGTTTTTCTTTCAGATCCCATGGAGGAAGACATTCTTCAAGTTGTGAAGTACTGTACTGATTTGATAGAGGAAAAGGATTTGGAACAGTTAGATTTGGTCATAAAATACATGAAAAGGTAGCTTATTTACTGATATGTATAACATTAATTGTGCTGGAGTTGTACAATGCAAGGTTATAAATTTAGCAGGTCTTGCATTTATGAATGCAGGATTTCTGAAGAAAAATTACATTGAACAGTTCAAAAGAAAGGTTCCTATTTTTTTGCAAGGTGAAGCAAGTGGAAATAGCTATAACACTTAGGCAAACTTTATAGCATTTGCTACTAGTAATTTGAACATATTTTGGACAGAGGGTGCTGTATTTGTCTATGCTGCTCTCTTCCTGTGTTTGTCCCCTTATTTTTCTCCATCCTGTTTAATTAACTTACCTTTTTAGTTTCTTCCATAGTCTCAGCCACTTATTATTTCTGTTCTATCAAGTCTAATCTCTTTTCACCTTGACTGAGCTCTAAAATACCATATCTATTTGATTCTAAGATAAGGGTCCCACCCACAATTTAACACTAGGAGAAGAAAGCTCCTAATCTTCAAATTGTGTATGAGGGTCATGCAGGAGTGGGGGCATGTGGTTGCTGTGGCTCAGACTCTGGCCCATACCCAGGGTCCAGGCATAGCCTAACTGCAGCTCCTGCCTGCCCCTCCCTCCCCCTACCCACCTCACCAGCCTCTGCACCTTGCCATCTCTCCCTTCGCCCCCACTGCCTTGTAGCCTCTGCCCCCATCTGCCTCTCTCCCCTCCCCCACCCTTGTTCTGTGCCACAGACCGTAACCCCAGCCCAGGCCTGTAGAAGCAGCAGCACAGTCCTCACAGCTGCTATGGGGCTGGGCTGGGGACATGTTCCATGTCCCAGGCTAGAACAGGGACAGAGCCTGCTGGCATGGAGCAATGGGAAGGGGGCCAGGGAGCAGAGTGGCTGTGGTGGAGAGGGGAAGGGGGCTTGAAGCTGAGGGTGGGGCGGGGGCAGGCACAAGGAGGCGGCAAGCTGCTTGACCTCCCCACTGCCTGCCCCCATGCAGCAGTGGGGGGGCGTGAATTAATGGCAACCCTCCAATAGTTAGATTCTGTACATGAAAAATTATAATCAACTTGTACATTTTGCCTGTGTAGAATCTAATTATTGAGGTGGTCATCTTAGATTCAAGTAAATATGATCAATAATAATCAAAATGGTTCCTTCATTTTTACTTTCCCTAAGAATCAGAAGGCCCAAGCTGTACTTGTGGCTTGCCCACTGGTTTGCTGTAAATTGGTATATTACCTACTTCACAGGATAAAATCATTAAATGGGTACTTACAGAAGTGTTGAATGCACAGGCATAACTGAATAAATCATGTTTTTCACTAGGCGGTTGAAATAAGAGGTTTAGTAATACAATTAAGTTAGTAGACTGGATAACCATTTTATGTTTTACAACAAAACTGGCATAGAAACTACCTATTTAAAGAAAAAAACGGAATTAATTTCTTGCCCTTCTGGTTTTTTGTTGGGTAAAAGAACCAAAGCATCATAGAGGGGCTGTCATGGTACCAGATTTGCCTGTGGCTTACTTTCCACAGTGAAAGGGCTGAGCAGCACATTTACAAGTTGTCTTGCAAGGATACCTTTGCAGATCCAAGCAGAAGGAGAATGCCAAGGCAGGGTTGGAATAGGAGGGGATTCTAATCAGTTGGTAGCAGCAGTACATGCTGGTCCTGCCTGTGAAGCTCATGACAAGCTGCTGTAACTTAAGCCCCTAGAACACATTCATTTAATGGTGTGATTAGATCTGATCTCTGATCCCAGCACGTGTGCATTGTGCCATGCCACATGTGTGGCAGGACATGCAGTTTTGGGATCAGGGATCAGATTGCAGTGGCATCATTACCACTTACCAGAGCAGAGGGAGCCCAGGATCCCTGTGCCAAGTTGAAATTTGGGGGCCTGTAGTCTGGGTGGGCCTGGGCCTGGTTCAAGACTCTCTTGTGGTCCTGGGACACAATCAGCTGGTTGTCAGTCCCAGCCTCAAGACCACACCAGAGACTTGAGCTGGCTCAGGTTACCCTGCCACAGCTTGAATTTAAGTCCTAATGAAAAACAGCCACAAAAATTTTGCACATCTTTTGTGGAATATTTTTGTGAGCAGTTTCCTATTCTATGATGTTATTAATTCCTTGAATGTGGAGCACAGGGTTATTATTTATGGTGCAATTAATAGGCTAATTGCATCTTAATTGTAACATTTTCCAGGGGCTTAGACAGGCATCGAAAACTATGAGGATGTGGGGGGGAAAGCACTACATTGTGGGATGCCTGGATGACCAACCTATTATGTACACACAAAGTAAAACAGTACAGAACAGTACCTGCTCCCTCTGGGCACATTTTCTTCATGCTTCAGTTGCTTCTGGAGCATTTTATCAAGCGCCTGTATCTGTACACTGGCCTTTTGAAATGTTTCAAATGTTACATCTGTTCACAGCCTGAGCTGCATTAGGAATTATTCTAATCCCCGTAGCAGTCCAGAAAGTCTTAGGATTTCTAACCCTCTCCCTCCAAGCTGAGAGTTCTTTGCTGCTCATCCTCTAAGCACAGCACAGAATTCTTTTTTGACAAAACTTCCTGGCATTTAAAATTTCTAAATTTAGCTCATACATCTCCATGAGTCTTGAGGGCTTCTGTCCTAGTACCTTATTTTCTGTCCCCAGCCTGACAAGGCCCCAGAGCCCCATCAAAATATCTTGAATTGTTTCTAGTATTTTTAGAAAGAAAAATGTACCAAAGGGGTCTTAGTTTTAGTGGGGAAGTATCAGGATCCAGAAAATTGTCGTGTCAGATCCTTCACTACTATGATGAAGTTGTGTGATATTAAACCAATAAATTGGCACCTATATTGAGATTCATGGAAGTTGGTGAATTCTTGTACATCTATAGAAATTGTAACCCCCTGAAATCAGAACAACCTGAACACTGCCTCTGTAAGATATTAACACTTATTTACATATTCAGCATCATGAAAAAGTAATCCAAATGCTGTTTATATGAATTTATTCTGATTCATTTCTACTAGGATTGTTGGTCTGGGTACTGGAAAAGAATTCTTCAAGTAATTGTCCATATGTACGTTCTTGCTTTGACTGTTCATGCCCTGAGCCTTGGACTGGACATTTTTTGCATTAGCAGTGCCCATAGACCCTTGCTTTGTCTTACCTCCATGCCAAAGGGATAAAAGTTGATGTGCACTTCCTGTACAGACACCAGAACACCTTGGGTCCCTGATTCCCAGGCTGTCATTGGATGAGTCATCTTCTGGCAATATAGGCAAGCCCCGCTTAATGCCATTTCACTTAGCACTATTTTGCTATAATGCTCATTTGAAATTGATACCTGATTTCACTTAGCGCTCAGTGAGTTCTGTTATAATGCTATCAGTCGCCATCAGATACTTTTGGTTTTGCTTAATGCTCATTTTGCTTAACACTCGGTTGTCCAGGAACCAATTAAGAGCACTAAGTGGGGGTTGCCTGTAAGGCTGTTTATCTGTGAGCTGCTTCTCTAACAGAAGATGTGAGTGGCTTGCAGCACTTCATATGCTGGATTGCTCTTCAGAGGATCTAACTGAACTTCCCTCATACAGCCTGGTGGATGTACTCGATCAACCTGAGCCATTCAAGGTGATACTGCAAATTAATGACCTAGCTAAGACTGTCAGGTGTATCCTGTCTTCTAATGTACTTGCTGATAAGTGCATGGACAGTAACTATAAAGTACTTGGCTTCCTTGGGTGCTACTCTTGCACACATTCTATTTTTTCTGGATCAGTATTGATGGAAGCTAACAAGAATTCAAATAGTCTTAAAGCCATCCCAAACAAATGCAATTATTTTGGCCCCTTCCTGTTGAAATGCCTGGTACCATGACCTTTTGGTAAAGTCTCTGAGGGACCCCAGGCCTTGCTGCTCATCCTGGATCTGTTGACTCAAGACTGAGATAGCAGTTGAAATGCCATTTAGAGTGCAAGACCCATCCAACATCCAGACAGGGTGATGAATGGCACACAGGTGTATTAAGTATAGTATCTGCTGGAGCTCAAGTTTGCTGGTCAGACTTTGACATCAGTTTAAGATGTATTTGGCATTTGTCTCGATCCATTCTTAGCCCATGTTCTCACCCAGCTGTCCTCAGATTCCTTCAGGCCTAGCAACATTGAGAGAAGAACTCTGTTTTACATTAGCATCTGAGAACCTTGCATTCCTTTTTGGGCCACCATGTCAGCCTAACTGCACTGCGCTTCACTTCCCCTTTCATGGAAATGGTTTGATCTGACACTTTCTTCCAGTGATTATATCAGTAAGAAATGGAAGTGGGAACCAAACGCTAATGTTAGATTCTCCTTACAGTCTTCTACCTAGATGTACTTTGAAGGCTTGCCCAAAGCTTCTGCCCAAGCAGTCTCTTTATTTCACCTGAGTCAATGTCAGCTTCCCAAAGTCCTGTTTCTCCCAAGTTTAGGGTTTACTGCACTCAGGAGACTCTTGGCCTTTGCCTAACACCTGTGAGGAGCAATCCCTGTTAAAAAAAAAATCTCTGTAGCTGATACTTAAAGGTACAGTGATTTATTGATCACCCACATAGAAAGTTGCCAGGGCATAACTATCTTCTGATTATAGTTTCATATCATAGAACAGGCAGCCCAAGAAAGTTGTGGAGTCTCCTTCATTGGAGGTTTTCAAGAAATGGATGGATAAGCATTTATCTGGGATGGTTTAGGAATAGTGCATCCTGCATCTATTTAGGAGCAGAAATAGAAGACCCTTGAGGTTACTTTCAGCTGCATGATTTTTTGCCACCAGAGCTCAAGCCACTTCCCTACATAATGCTACATAAATGGTAAATACAAAGCAGCCACTGATGCATGCTGTTGCCAAGCTCTGTGTCCACAGAAGCCTCCATGGTTTTGGCAGTTAGGAGTTGGATCCAGTGTAGACAAGAGATGATAGGAAGTAAGCTAATTGAGCAGTAGACAGAGGTAGAGACAAGCCGTTTCTGGCAGGTGGAAGATAGGTTAAGGTTGGGGATAAAGAAGGGAAACCAAATGGCACTGTTGCTGAGCAATGTTAACTAAATTATGGCAATTTAATAACAGTGCAGTGCTAAGTACACTAATGAGAATGAATAAGGAAGGAAACAAAGTAGAATTCGAGCTTGGAGGTGGTGGAGCATATTCACAATTATACGCCGATCACATAGATCTGCTGTTCCTAGAGCAATCAAGAAAGCTTACTTCTGAACACATCAAAATCTTGGTGTGTGCACTTTTGGTGGGAGTCAAACTAGGCTGGATAGAGATAAACGGGGGGGGGAGCCAGTACACTAGGCAGGTGCTGAATTGGTAGGGCAGTCCTTCAGTGGCTGTTTGCCCACTGGATTCAAAGACCCTCTCTCCAGCTATCCAGGCACTGCATTGGTGGCATCCATATTGAGAATGTCTATGTGATGTTTATTTGAAGGAGAAAGAGAAGTTAAGAGAAAGAGAAGTGGAATTCTCCAGCTTGCCCACATACACATTCATATCCTTGCCCTCCTCTGTAGTCAAATAAAACACAAGACTGGATTGAAAAGACTGGAGAGCAAGAGGTAGGCACAGGCTGGGGTATTCTGGGTACTGCTAAGGGAAAGTCTTTGATCCAAGGCTCAGGCATAAACACATCCACAGTGAGGAAGTGTATGTGGACAGTAAATGCATCTAAACTCCAGCTCCTTCCTGGTGAGTAACTTTTGTCCTAAAGCATCTTCTGCTGCTCTAAACATGACTACTTTTCCCCCCACCACAGGTTAATGCAGTCATCTGTGGAATCGGTTTGGAATATGGCATTTGACTTCATTCTCGACAACGTTCAGGTGGTTTTACAACAAACCTATGGAAGCACATTAAAAGTTATCTGAACTTGTAGTAAAGAGCTTGGTGAGAGCCTGGTGCTCTCTGCTAGCTGTGCCATAAGTGCTTGTGAGGTATTTGCAAAGTGCATGATAGTTAATGCCCTAAGTTTTTATAATTTTAAATTTCTTTTTAAACAGAAAGTGTTTTTGTACATTTCTTTTTAAAAAGTGCCAAATTTGTCAGTATTGCATGTAAATAATTGTGTTAAAATTCTTTTATTGTAGTATAGACTCTATTTACAAAATGTTTGTTTATAAAGTTTTATGGATTTTTACAGTGAAGTGTTTACAGTTGTTTAATAAAGAACTGTATGTATAGTTTTGTACTGATTTCATTTTGTCAATGCTTCAATTGGAACATAATTCACCCTTTGTTAAAGCTACCGCTTTAAGTCTTTTTACTCAGCTCTGCAGCATTTAAGCTATTGCAGCCCTAGTACAGCTCCCCATTACAGAGTCCTCAGATTAGGCCCAACACAGTGAGAACCAAACATGTGTGCTCTTAACCTTTCCTTAGTCTGAATAAGCTCTAATGCTGCTTTTTCTTGTCCTCCCTCTATCCATTTTAAGCATAATGTGTCTGTTATCCTTTATAACCAATAGTTGTCCACATATACAGGTCCTTAGATTTTAAGGCCAAGACATTCTCCTTCCTCGCCTAATCTCTGCCTCAGTTCTATACCTTCTGTTAGAGCTAGAGCATCATCCAGTTTTAAAGATATCTAGTGATAGAGTCCCCTGCATTCCTGGGTATTGGTAGTGTTAACTTGTCGTAGTATTTCTGGTTTGATTTTTTTTGCCAACCCCCTCCACTCTTGCAGATTAAAAGTAGATGCTGGTTGCTGCCACTTCTCCAATAATACACATTTCTCTCTATAAAAGTTGTTTTTCAGGCATCAGATTGTTCTTGTAGGGTTTTTCCCATCTTTCAACCTTTAAATATAACATGTTTATAAGAAGCATATGGTATTGCAGTTTTAATGGAAAAGTTGCTACTCTTACTTGTGTCAAAGATTACAAGAGGCCAGACAATCCTCCAACTACTTATTTTCCCTTGTGTGTGTGTCTAGGAAAATTCTTCTCCAAATTACTGTATTCCAGGACAAAGTCTCATCTCATGCAGTGGATATTTTTAATCTACTTAAGTTGCCATAGCTGAAGTGATCAGAGTTTGAGCCAAAACCTGTATCGATACAGCAGTGTAGAAAATACAGTAGCTTAGCTCAGCCTTAGAATTCCTTCCAGTCATTCACTTAGGAGGCTAACTAGTGCTAACCTATAAAAAGCCTTAAAGGATTTGCCACCACAGTAGGTGTAAGATGTTGTTACATGAAATAATGCAGTATTCCTGGCTGTGGCAAGCAGCGCACCAGTCTAGTTTAAGATCAGCACTGCTGTGGATCTTACACTTATGGGATAAGGACACTTGCTCACTAACAGCCAGGGTATGTTTAAGACTGGGAAGCAAACATTTATTAGATTCCAGGGAAAGATTTAGCTAGATCTAACCTGATCAACTCAGAATCCAGATCATCCTCCTGCTCTGTAGCTGATACTTTTGAAATAATACTCATGTAGAATGTACAACAAATCGAATAGCAAAATGTTCATAGTGTCTGTTTGCTGCAGGCTTTAGTTCTACAATCATAATTGACCAGGGCTGGTCTCTTTCCATGCACCACAATAGGAAAAGTAGCTGAAACCTGCAGAGTGCATGTTGCAAGACTTGTCAAACTTTGACACATTTTTAACAAGTTCTATTTTTGGATCAAGCTGTGGACTTCAAAATAAGTGTTTATCATCTGAAAAGAAGCATGTGTGTCCATTATCTGGGAAAAAAAATTACCCACAAATAGAAGCTGTCTGCCTAGCTCTGTGGTGAACCTGAAAATGGGTAGCCTGGAAAATGAATTTCCCAACCTGTTCCCCTTCCTTCCTTTACTGTATGGCTATTTGACTTCTGAAGTGAATCATTTTGCTTGATCAAAAGGGATGAAGGAAAAGCCCCATCATAACTACCTCCTGCTGCAGGAGGCTAATGATCATTCTACCTTGACCTTTAATACTTTGGTCTACTATTATCCGATGGAGAACTACTGGATTTAAGGGTATGAACAGCTTTAGATTTGTGACCAGTCCAAACACAATGAAGTTGGTGGCCCTTTGCAAAAGGGAGTTTGAAATCTCAAGGGTGCTTTTCATTATGCATGTTTAACTAACAAGTCAGTTTTAGAACAGTTCACCCCAGAACAGTAAGCTAACTCCATTGTAAGACTAGGCCAAAAATAATGTTTTATGGACCATACCTAAATTATAAGAATGTGTGTGACGCTTTAAAAACATTACAGGTGGACATCAAAGAAAAGTCTTCAAGCTTTAAAAGATCAAACAGAATCATTCCACAAGCAGAAGAAAATGTACTATAAATATTAAAAGTTACAGTGAACTACACTATAGCCCCAAGATTTTTTTTGGCCTTTGACAAATTCAAATTCAAAGGTAACACTGTCACACATGATGCCTCTTCCAAAAATGTGCATCTTTAACTGGAATATAGGATTTTCTTGTTTGAAAAATGTTACTTAAAATTACAAAGTCACATCATCCATCCATCTTACACTAGTCCTGTGATGAAACACTGGAGAGTCAGGGTTTATAAAAAGGGGAAAAAAGTTTATCTAGGCCAGATATCAGATGGGTAGAAAATAGAATTAACAGTATCAATGACAGGAAACAAAACAAAAAAACACCACATATGTACTGCTTCCAGTTAGCAAAAGTCTTTTGCATTGTCAAGTCACCTGTTAAGTTTTGGCTCACTGGCTAGAGATCACGTACTCCCCTAACTTTATCTGTCTGTGCACAGCAAGCATGCCATGTCCTTGATAATCACAATTCTGAACAGCAGCAAGTTATTCTAGCTTGCTAAAAACCCAGCTACAGACTTTCAAGCTTTAAATGTCAAAGTATTAAAAAGAACCTTAACTGCTGATTTTTCCTGGGCAGGGGGGAGGTGAAACAAAGGGTAAAGTTGCATGGAAGAGGATGGTAGCTTCCATCTAATGAGGAAACTGCAAGTTCTATCTCCTTACCCGACAGTGCTGCAGATGCAAGCTTCAGTGGCACTTTTGTGTTATATAAACAGCCCATAAAATGATGCCTTATTCATTGAAGCAAAATTGTAACAAGCGGGCGAGTGTCCATTTCCTTTATTTGTGGCTCTGCATTGTAATGATTACAGGTTAAAGTTGATTTTTCATGAACTGTACAAGCAATAAAAGGTGGCCAGCTAATGCTTTACATTGTTTCACACAAAGCAATACAGAAATCTAATTACCTAATTTTCTATTTTAAAAAATATCTATAGGCACAACGCATAAGAGAATGCTGAGGGGAGAGAGGGGGAAAAAAAGGAAGAGGTATGCATAAATAAAGAAGTATTTCTTACATCAAAAACATCCAAGAATCAAAGTCTGCAGAAGCTTGGTTAATCAATACTGCAGTACTGGTTTCATCAGTATAAAAGTGAAAGAGTTTTAGTTCTGTAATAAAAATTATTTGGGGGGAGAACATGGAAGGAAGAAGGGCAAACTTTAAAACAGCAGCCAGTATAAGGGAAGGTGAACAGGCACATTGGAACCGTGGGAACATGTAAATTGACCACTGTCAAACCAGTGTAAGTTTCTTGGTTTCTCATGGAAAACATTTATCAACTTATTTTCCTGCCAAAACATAAGTCCAACAGCGTCTTCAATATTTTGACTTTGTTGGTGATTTTCACAATAGGAATAGTGAGTTTATTCCAGCCTGCCCATTGTTTAAAAATTTTCTAGATGATTTCAAATACTTTCTTCAGCTCTACAATAAGCTGCCAGTCAGATTTCTGCATTTCATCTCTAAACCAGTCCTTCAGAGCATCAATGGACTGACGACTGATCTACAACACACAACAAAAGAGATGTTAGAAACGTGTACTAATGACATTATTCTACCACATGGTCTAGTGGATAAGGCATGTTGGGAAAGCAGGGTTCTAATTCCAGTTTTGCTGTTGGCCTGCCCTGTCTAGACAGTTACTTTAACTATCTGGTTTCCATTATTTTGTCAATACTAAAACTCCTCCGGCTACAGATCAACTTTATGGTTGTAGTGTGCAGCACAGAAGTTAAGACAGAGAGATCATGTTGGTTCAGCTCCCTATAGTCAAACTTAGAAACCCCATAATAAATTTACCAAGCTCCATCCTAAAACTAATTAGGTTTCTACTCTTTGATAGCAAGAACACAACCCTGTTGTAAATCATTTTTAAAGGTTGAAAGAATCTATACTGTTGTGGTTGCGCACATTACGAAGGGATTTAGCTCATAACAAGCTCCCTTCCTGGCCCAGGTGCCTATGATTTAGAGAAGCAAAGACCAACTATTATTAGAGTTGCCAACCCTCCAGTCTCCAGGAAACTGCTAAGAGTTACCCGGGAGATAAATGATAGGGCATTCATTAAAGTAAATATTAAATGCTGAATCTGATTTATACACTAGTCCAGTGGGTTTTTAAAATGCAATAGTAATGTGCATTTGCCTTCCTGACGTGAAGTCTACGCACCATAATTAATGTCATTATATCATATGATGAAACCTCCTGGAATAGATTCAAACAGAGTTGGCAACCCTAACCATTATCCAGACATACCAAAGCAGACGCACTGCAGCACCTAGTGCATTAGTGGACTGCAAAATCTAGATACACTGCAGTTCTGTTCCAGATGCTAACCAGACAAAGGTAAACAGAACAATACACCACGTTAAGGGAAGAGGGTGACCCAAAATATAGTCCTTTATTCTTAACATATTTGCTATTTTCCTTGTCACACACAAGAATGATGCACAACATATCTGACTATAGCATTTCAATCCATTGGTGATGAAACCTGGCGCTCTTAGTAATGCTCCCGCAAGAGTTTTGTGCTAGTGAGAAACTAGGCTACAGAAAAGAGCCATCACTAGAATAAGGGAATGATGCTGAGAGTTATTATCCAGTACACAACTCTTCAGGCTTTCATGTTGCACTTGAAGCCATGTTACTAGGAGGCCACCAGCCTTTTTACAAAGGGTGCATGTCTCTAGAGCTTCTTACCTTACTGACAAGGATATCTGTTGCTTCAAAGTGTCGTCCGTACATTTTAGGTGATTCGCCAGGAATCGGTTCTATTTTAATGCAGACTTCTTGTCCTTTTTTTGCAACATCCACGGGTTTATGATTTATTTCTATGCTTGTAACTATTCCAATTTCCACAAACTGCAATGCAACAGAGAAGCT